AACACTCACAAATATGTTAGAATTAGATTTGCCTCTTCAAACAACTTGCATATATCTGCTTACTAAATTAAGTTTTAACTGGCAGTTTCATAAATTAGCAAGATCGGCCGTCCAAAAAACTTTTAACAGCAGCATCGATTACAACTAATTCAAGAAACCACCTGCTTCGTTCAATTTTAATTTTGTGTCTTCGATCTGCAACACAAGAAACAATATTGCTACTGTATGAATACATATAGAAGTTAAGCAAGAGCGAATACTACAGTGGTAGGCCATGTTTAGGGTGAACAGCACTGTGGGCTGTCAAGTGAACATTGTTGGCATGCATTGGTGAAATGTACGTGAAGTACAACGGTAGTGCAACGTATGCAGCACTTTGCAACTTCCTATTTTTATGAACTGCTCAGGATTAAAATTGAGAAAAACAAAAATTTTTTCAACTGGGTGTAAATCTGGGTGCATTTGTTACGCACAATTTCTGGTTAAATGTGCAAATATGACTACATACAAGGAAAACACACGAGTAACTTTCATGTTTGTAATCATCACTGCACCTACCACCTCATGTACTTTTTTCCAAATATGCAAACAATGTGACACAGGAACTGTTACAAAGCATATCAAAAATAAAAAATACTTGCAGAGTCTGCAACATACTCTGTCAAATGACCTCAGTGAAGTGTGTTACAGGATAATTTCAGTGTCTGCATAATATTATCAGCTCTCTACCATAATTTTCAGGGCACTTCATTTTTATTAAATTTGGATCTTGTTGCTAAATAATCAGATAAACTAAGAAGCAACCACTGGTTTTATTGGTCTGCAATTGCTGCATTGTGGCCGCAGTTGCCATGAACATGCACAGCTCCTCAAAGCTTCTGCTAGATAGCATTTACTTATGCGACATGGCAGTGCAGAATCTTTAACTGATTATGAAAAACACACTAATTTAACAAAGTATCAGTATATAGGTGCTACTTAGATTGATAAAGAAAAGAAGACAGCGGTGGTAAAAGCTATAAAATACTGCAATCTATGTTTGAAACATGTGCTAAAGCTACAAGGTTCTTAAATGAAAAGCACTTGATTAAAATTGCAGGACTCGGCTTTAGTTCCCTGTGCATGATGAAAAAAATACATGTAAAAATGGTCCAGAATAAGAGTTAACGAGTCTTTTTTTCTCGCATAAATGGCACTCGAGTATGCTGCATGACATTAGAAAAATGAAAAAAAAAAAAGTGATAGAAGCTACCTTTGAGAGCACCCCTTTGGCAAACGGTACGTGCCCCAAGAAACAAAAATACTCCAAACACGCTCTCCAAGCTTTACTGATGATTGTGGGCATTCTCTTCAAGGGCGCCCAGTGTCCCCTCCACATAAATGGCATTTATCACGATGATGCGCTGAAACAAGCCGGCAGTGGCCAACGCGGCAAGCCGTCTGAGCTTTTGGGCACCCATTTGGCAACATAAAAAACCACAACACAGAAAAAAAAACTTGACTTGAGATCATACAATGTTACACTTCAAAACCTGCTTCTTTACATCAACAACACAAACATATCGAGCTGCTCTTTCGCTCGGTTGCAGAGTTATTTTCTCAAGGCAGAGAGTCACTGCACCTATATATTGATGCAACAAGGTCGTTTCTTCACGGATTTTTCAGCACAATATAGAGCACTCCGTCCCCGCACTGAAATTCACATATGAGCCACCCTAGGCTACGGTAACAACACATATGAGAGCGGTAAAATTATTTCATCATATCACACCTTATTATCAAACCACATAAGGCATGTATTTCACGCATTCGGATTTTGCTAGGCTAACAATGAAGGTCAGGATCTCGATACATATTGCCCTATATCCAGTGAATTACAAGTTCTTTAGCAGCAGGAATACAGCCTTTTTTTGCCGGATGTTTCTTCTCATCTTAAGTAACCTGGGAAGCTTGCAAGTTCTCTTGCCTTTTTTCTCAGAGGACGGTCAACATTTTTTCAAGACTTACGAGACAAAACTAATAGCAACACTTTTTATAGGGGGTACTGACACAAGAGCATTGGCTTCACGTTTTTCTGCTGCAGCGTATTGCTTGTCAATTATAACACAATGCATCGTTTGCTGTAGCACATGACAGATAAATAACTACAGGCCCCTCATTATTGACCAGTTCTAGTTTCAGTTTGAGAGAGCTCTGAAAACGAGAAGGCACCGGGCATGACAACTGCCACCTAGCGTGAGCAGCTCTAGACCGCATCAATACCACCAATAGGAAATGGGCTTGCAGTGTTGCCAAACACAAAGCTTTCAAGCGTAAGCCACGGTCATGCACTTGCGACCAGCCGCCGAAAAGTGCAGACTGCAGGAACAAACACAACAAAAGAAAAATGGCGGCTGTGACGCCATTATAACTTGTTTTGTTGACTGCAAGGTGGTGACGTGATGGAAGTAGAGGGTTTCCAGAAGGTGCTCTTTGAAGTTGTTGACAAATGACACGATAGAGTCGAGGGCTCACACAAATTTCAAAAATTTTTTAAATAGCTTTCAAGCTACATTCACTGTTGATATTTTGCAGATGAGATACGTATAGTCAGGCATTGACTTTGCAGGCTATCTTGGCCACAAAATTTTGTGTCAGTACCTCTTTAAGTACAGAACTTGCTTAATTCAAACTAAATGCACACTTAGAACCTTTCACATGGTGGATTGTCATTGGAATAGAGAAAGCCGACAATTGTTCTCAGCTTTAGTAATAGTCGGGTGATGTAGATAACTACTTAAAATGGCCATTTTCAGCTATGGTGGCATAAATTATATTTGAGAAATTTATACTGACTAAATATTTCTCATCAACTACTTCACCTAACCTAAAGCTTTATGCACCTCGTGTGGTGCTGCACCAGCACCAAATCGTTCCACATTCGTCGTCTTCACAAGGTGTCATTAGTCACAAGATTAATGACGTCACAATTGACCTCTGACATCATGGATGGCATCATGTGAGGTTATCTTAGAACAGTTCATGTTGTGAACGCCGGGCACCAGCTTTTAATCCTCATGAGACATGCAATCCTTCGCCTTAATGATCATGCCGCAACATAGTTTTTTTTTTTCATGGTTTTACCACGCACAATCTTGCCACGAATAATTTGCATAGAATAAAATGGCAATGAAAGACCCTGCTGCATCAAATAATGCTGCACCACTTTTAGGGATAAAGAACAAAATGTGTAAACACTGAGCACAAGTATAAACACTTTGCTTCAAAAAACAATAAAATGCACTCGTAGTGAAACTGAATATTCTCTAGAGTAGAGCCAGGCCATGAAAAGAACCCTAAGTGCGAAGTCTGCAAGGACGTATTGCCACTACAAATAAAAGTAGTAATAAAAAGGTGCCACTGCAACACGCATATGCAGTACAAGTTGAACCACGCACACAAACCTCTTTTCCACATTTCAGCATCTATTATGCTAATGTTTAAAACCGATTTTCACACAAAAAAGTATAAATAAAATTGTTGCATCATTATGAAGTCATGATACACATTAAAAAGACAGGACACACTGGACGAAAAAGATTGCTGCAGTAGTCGGTGCAACTGCAACGTTACCATACGACTGCTGTTCTAAAAAAATCTTCCGCTAAAGATGATAGATATATTATTGCTTGTCATATATATCCATTACATTATTGACAATAAAATTTTGATAGGAAAATAAAGTTGCCACCACAAAGGTTCAACCGCATTGCTTTTTTTGTCATTGTGTAAAGTGCAGCTTTAGGATAATTTCCAACTCACTCATCTGTACGACTCGTGCAGCAATGTACACCAAGCAAAACATTAGCATAGCAATCATTTCATTAGTCGTCGGCTATAATTTATTCACTTTCATTGCTCTTACAGCAGTGGAACAGCCGTTTGACCACCTTTAGGAGATGATAGTGCAGAAGAAGAGAATCGCTTGCAACCCAGCATCTCTCTGCAAACTATGGAACCATGTTGCCTAGGCTGCTACACTCATGCACATCTGCGAAAATTTTGTACTTCTTCAAGGTGCCAGTGCTTTATCACCCATTCAATAACTATCTGAGAACACTGAGCAAATTGTTAATTAACTGCACACCTTGGACTCTGTCGGATGACCCATAGAGTCCCCGACAGTCTTCGCACTAATGCTCGAGCTTTTAAACTTTTTAACCAACAAGAATGCTATGGAAAATGTGCAAACAAAGCAAGCACCAAGACGCTCAATGCTTTATTAGACAAAACTTGATGAAGCCAACAGATACTTAGGCCATAAAAAGCACAAGTTGCAGCACTAGCTGTTTTTAACGGAAGCAGAGTACTTCATGAGAATGAAATGAATGGAAGTGGGCAAAATCAACTTGCCATTTCCATGTACTGCACTAACAACTCTCGAAATGAATGAAATTCGTAATTATACTAAACCTAGCGCTTCAAAGGGAAACTTTTTCCTTAAGATTACGGCGCTTGTGTATCCGTTACAAAAGTGGTTGGCTGTTCAATCACTGTATGCATGAAAGACACCCAATTTCTTTCCTCTTTCCGTTTGCAATGATGCCCAAATTTGGCATTGTATCGTTTAAAAGAGATGACATGCAGAATATTTTGCCACATCACCAAGAGGGAGCATGAAAAAAAAATCCACTGAGAGAGCAGTCACCAAGAAAGTCATTAATGCGTCACAATGCTACACAAAATTTTTCAAATGAGCACGGAACCATAAAAAAATACAACCAGTCAGCACTCGCACCCATGTCGCAGAAGTGGCAAGCAAAAAAAGAGTGGTCGAAAGATGGAGAAGAAAAACAACAAAAAGGTTCTTAAGGCCCGACACTCGTGCAGCGATAAAAGGAAGGCATAAGAAAGCACCAACACGAATTGTTGCGGAAGGCCAAACCGAGGTCAAATCATCGCGGTGGCGCTGCTATTTACAGATGATGCACTCTTATTCTTCCGTTCTTTTTTTTTTTTTCTTCATGTCCCAACCACACAGGCACCTCCTTTATCTCTTTTGTGGTGTCTGTGTGCCGAAGGCTGTGGTGGGTGTGAGGCACTGAAAAACTGTCGTGGAGGTGCATCGAGGCACTCAGTCTTTGACGAGACGATAGATGTGATGCTGGGCTCCATGAACACTGGTGGAGACCTCAAACACGTACGCGATGCACAGAAGCGTCTCTTGGGAGTCTCGATTGGTCACCACCTGTAACACGAATTGTGGATGAAGCGAAAATCATGTATATATCGCTTGCAACTTGTAATAATTAAAATTATAGTAACCTATATTGTAATCGATACATTGATGAAAGAGAGCTGTGGGTAAAAGATGCTCTTCCAACAGATCTTACAGTTTCTCAGCTTGAGTGTCCACTTAATTTACCGCTTATCTATCATTTGCGATTTGTGTTCAGTTATTGGGAAGTGGTTTGTATTAACATATTTCGTTGCTGCTGATATCGGTGTGGGAAACTAGGTCAAGGTGGAAAAAATTTTTATTGAAATTTTTCATTTTTGCATGTGTACTCTTTCACATGATTGTGATGGTCCGTAACGCTGCTGCAAAACTGAAATATTGAAAATGTCTGAATTGGGTGCACTGGTGTCCGGCAATTAAAAAACAGTGTACATGCAATTCACGCTGTGCAATGACAGCGGCAGAAACAACCGTCGGCCGTCAATTAAGCTGATGTGTTGCAAGTCACATCGGCACAATCCGAGACGAAGAGGTATACAATAAGTGCACGGTTCATTACATGATAAAGAGCATTGGAATATAACCAAGCACACATACAAATGCACGCGTGAGCACAAGCATGCATAAAATATGACTGACTCCACCTTCCTGACTAAATTTCTGGCTACACTGATGGTGTGTCAGGTTCCTCAACTCAAGCAGCAAACAACAGGAAACAACTATGAATTAGTTCAGCAAACTGCAACAAATTTGCTATTAAACACCATCTGATAGTTCTAGCAAGCTGTTTTGTGAGGTCGTTGCTTCTACCAGCACTTATTGCCAAAAGCACAGAGATATCGTTCGTGGAAATTTGGACACATTAAATCAATAGAAATGACACACACAGACTGCATGTAATGCAACTGCAGCTTACTCTGTTGGATGTCTCAGTTTTTAACGTACTCCAACAGCATGGTTTTATCTTCTTTTGCTGGGATAGCATTCGAGACCTCTGCCTGTCAAACTTTTTGGTAATTTTAGTCTCAAACGGTGACTATTCGATAGCGTCTTCTCTCAAGTTTCAAATTGCAACATGGTATGGCTTCCTAAAACACAGGTCTTTTGAGATCATGGCGCGGCTGATGTGCGTGTGTGCCTTTGCATGTGCACACGTGCAAAGATGTACATCAAGTCAGCTGCTAGTGTGCTCCGGTTTGTTCTGGCATACAGTGTCATTGTCTTCCAAAAGCAACCCTGACGTGTGTCACTTTGTATCAGCTGTGTCACTAGACCTGTGCCACTCAAAGCCCCAGTGATTTACTAGCAGAAGATGCAAAAGCTTTTTTTTTTATAATACAAGGTTTTTCAAAATTTCCCAGGTCACACTGCAATAATACTTGGGAATCGTAGCTTGCACGGACATCTCGAGAGAGAGGAGGAGCTTCTGCCTGCCATTGTAATTTCGAATATTTTCTGTGGAGTACTAATACGCTACAAACCTCGATTAGCACCCTCGTGTCCTGCACATTTGTGGGAAATTACATTCCATATAGGCAGAAAACATTGCATAATGCACCTTACTTATTCAATAATCATGCCCATCATGATAAGTCATGACACGGCAATGAAAAAAAGCCTACACGTGGTTGATGGCACGCCTGTCACTCTTTCCCCTGTAGATTCACCTCCCTGCAAACAGTCCTTCAGCCGCACCTGGTGGCCTGAGAACTTTTCACAGACCCTTCACATGGGCTCATACATTGTATGTATAATATCTAATAATGTGACAGTCTTTGAAGAATGCCGAGTGCTCATGGTCACATATTTGTCAAGGCAAGTCCAATGCACACAATAGTGACTGTCTGGTCTGCTTCTTATGAATAGCAAGTTACCACTCCAGAAAACGTACGGAGAAATTTTAATCAAGCGGAGGTTTTCAGTCCTGCGAGGTAACCTGTTTCTTACCTGTAGTATTGTGAAGTTCTCGAGCACACTGTTCATCATGTACTTCTCAGGCAAATGCTTCAACTTGTGAATGAAGTTGATCATGTATTCGCACATTGGTGATCGATGAATTCTATACACGAAACGGCCATTCTCAAACCTTGCATACTCCGTCTGCAAAAAAAAAATCAAAAAATAAGTTTAAACAACTCGTGTCAAGAAGGTGTGCAGGCATTATGAAAGCCAATTTTTTTTTGAAGCTCCTAAACCTAAATGATCCTACCTAAACATCTCATTGAAGGAGCAAAAGTGAAATTTTACATGCTTAAATGTACTTGCATGACCACAACTGACCACCACTATTTAATGTAGATTGTTTAATGTATAAGCTAGTAGTTGAGTGCACAGACTAATAGTACAGTCGTTATGTTTGTTTGGCTAGGTTTTCACCCTTAATTAAAAGGCTTGAAACCATGCAAGCACAAGCCCTCAAAATAACTTCTAGCATTGCTCATACTTACTTAATTATAAGAAGTATCTAAATCCTAATCACTGATTCTGGCAAGTAGTAGTTCTGTGTAAAGCCATGACTGTCTCAAAACTGTCTTCCTTTTAATGCTTCCCCTGATTACAGTCAGCTTGAAAATTTATTGCCAGTGTGCACTGAAATCTAGCATCAGTTCACAGCTATTGTAATCAGCTCATTAGGCAAATATTACGAATAAAAGGAGCATGAAAAAAAATAAAAACAACATCTCGCCATAAAGCTTAAGTATTTTGTTCTCCCAATCCTGGCTTCATTAGTCAAGCCTACTTCATAAAGTACCGTATGATGCGGAATATAGGTCGAGGCAGAATATAGGTCCACCCCCACTACCTTCACTGGCAAAAAAAGAGAAAAACGGGGAGTTGTTCACGGATTCACTTTATTCAGTCCTCCAAATTGTTGGAGCTCTCCTCCAACGACAACTGTTTTTCACTAGCCGCCTCCCATAGCATGTCGTCCTCAGTGCCGTCGAGAGCGTTGTTGATGCAGCCCTTAAATGCATGCACCACCATCTCTTTGGGCATAGACCTCCATATGCCTCAGAGACCCAACCACAAACTGTCGCGAGAGGTGGCCTGCGCAGCCGGGTGTACAATGCACCCACACGGTCTTTGAAAGGTTTATTAAGGATGATGTCCAGAGTTGCAGTGTTGATGTCACCCTTCCCGGAATTACAAAATCCGTCTTTCCGTCACAAAGGCTCTCGTTCCCTGATGGCGTCAAATGGCCACGAAACGCACCCAACACTAGCATGTACCGGTGCTGCAGGAGGGCTCCGGGCCGCCAGTTCCAGACTGTGCAGATCCACTCGCGCATTAGGGCCTCGTCTATACAGTCAAAATCCGCTACAACGAACGTCGATTCAATGAAATTTCCGCTTCAACGAAATTTCCGCTTCAACGAAAAATTCACAATTCCCCGTCAGCAGTCCATAGGAGTCAATGCATAAATATTGTTGCCACAACGAAAACTTTTTCTTTAATTTTCACGCTTCAACGAAATTCTACGATGCGATTCCAGGCTCAGATACTTATTGCTATGCAGTACAGCCAGTCTTTAATATTTTGATGCATATTTAGAGCCTCGAAATGTGTCAACAAAGTCTAAAGTACGCATTGGCACCATCAGAAACCGCCACTGTTCAACAAGCATGGGCTCCGCCATTGCTCGATAGTGATGGCAATGAGACCGCCCTGCTTTTGCCACTGGCTTATTTGAGCCGCAGACGATCCGAAGCTGAAGCTCAGTCGCTCAGTTCATGGTTTTCCTCATGCAGCTGCTGGATGCAATCGCGGAACGATGCCTTTTTAGATTTTGATTTTTATCCTTATGTTCGCGCTTGGCTGTGCGGTAACTAATCAGAACGACTGTTCGTCCACATTATCAACAAATTTATCTAGCCACGAGGAATGGATGATAAGAACGGCATAGAATAATGCAAAAGTCGCCGCTCCACGATACCCTGCCTGCATCTTGGCGTTGTTGGATACTTTTGATGGCGGACAGCTGCTGGTGTTAACGTGTTAATGCAGCTGTTTTGTTCGTTCACGAAGGTGGGTTTAGGTGTGTTTCAGCATGATTTTCACCATGGCCTCACTCTGCATGAATGAGAATGACGTCGTGACACTGCTGGGAAAGAATAGGAAGGAGCGGACATTTTTTGAATTTTGAGAATAAACGTTTTTTTGTTTTGCTAGCTCAGATAAGCTATATTTTTTTCGATTTTACTACAACAAAATATTCACTTTCACAAAATTTTCGTTGTAGTGGGTTTTGACTGTATACCCCTCTCAATGACACAGACGACGATATCCTGCGGGAAGGCCTCCTTCGGCATCGTCTTCCGCTTGAAGATGATGAAGGGGGGCAACTCTCTGCTGTCGGTCGTGCAGAAAAGCATAACGATGAAGTGCGAATGCTCGCTTTTGGTCGACAAAAGCTTCACCTCTTTTGGCTTGCGTTCACAAACAGTCATGGATGACAGCATGTCAAATCACACCGACGTTTCGTCAGCAATGCCGATCTGGCCTAGCATGTAGCCATGCTGCCACCGGAGGCTGTTCATGTAGAGTTGAAACTCTATCAATTCATATTCGTACATCTCTGGCAGCTTCTGTCATATTGACGTGCGCCGTCGAAGGGCAAATCCTTTGCGTCGCATGAAGGAATGGACCCAATAAACGAATCCCTTGAAATTTTTCTTTGACAGACCAGCTTCACGGGCGAGCTCGATGGCTTTTGAGCGAATGAGCTCTGCATTCACTGGCAGAAATATGGCACGGTACTCGCGGACGAAATCCGCCACTTTGTCCTCGAGTTCTGGGTGCACAGCTCAGCGACCGGGAAACGATGTCTTTCTCGCGTTACACACCGACAGTTTGGATTTTTGATTGCGCCAGTACCTGACGTTATTCTCGGACACTCCAAACTGTCGCTGTGCCGCCATGTTGCCATTCGCTTCCATGAATTCAATAACTTCTCTTCTAAATGCGGCGGTGGACTGGCACCGCGTCCCGATATTCATAGCTGGTCGCAGGGTAAGGTCGCCTCTCGCTACGAACTGTGAATGAACAAGAGAAGAAAAATGGCGTCGGCAGACAACACGTCGAGTGTCCGCGGTGCCCGTACATGGAGGCGATGTCGATGCTGATGCCCAAAAAGCATGTGACACTCCCCGTTGCCAGACAATCACTTGGTTTATCGCAAGGGCCAGTGTATAGGCCGAGAGGCGACTTTTTAGGGACATTTTTTGGAAAAAAATTAAGACCTATATTCCGCACTATAAGGTAAGTGTTGTAAGGGGCTGTCTAAATAAAAAAAAATATAGCTGCTCAATAAAGCTGTCTGTACTAACTACTATTCCAATGATTGATCAGTCTATTTAAGAGCTAGTGAACATGCTCCAACTGTTTTATTACACCCACATAGAACCTAGCCAGTTCACACAGTAGACCACGGCGATCAATTTTGCCGAATATTATAGCGCTGCATACCACGCATACCTTTATTTACAAAAAAAAAAACAACCCCACAGCTGTTTCTCTCGCCTGACCAAGCCACGCACAGTCTGACTAAAGCTTGCCCATGGGCAACGTTATGCACCAATGACCTTGTTAATTGGTTTTGTCCTAGAAAACAGTGCCTTGGCCCTGTGGCCATGTAGTTCCTGCCGCGCAGTCTACATTTTCATTTTTCTGTGCTGCCCTCTGCTGTTTTGTAAAGCCTGAGAGTTTAGGAGAACCGTTATTGCCAGAACGAAAGCCTCCGAGATGAAGAGGCATCTCACTATTTTACTGCGAGGGCAAACCTGCTCCTCGCCCCATCTTCCCTGCCAGCATTGCTATGACAAGGGTCGTGAGGAAGCCCCACCTGGTCTCTGTTCAGGCACATCTTATCACGCTGCCGAAAAGCGCAGATTCACGACGAAGGGCTACTTTTTTCGCAGAGAAGAGTGGCGAGCAGCCGTGCGATAACTTGAAACTGGTTGAAACGGATGTTCTAATCTCTAACTTTCTAATCACAGCACCTATTCGCAAAATTCTCATGGCAGCATGTTCAAATAGCAAAAAGGCACATACATATGCTCCTAAAAATTTTTGAATGTTTACTGGCCTTTTAAGAGATAATGTATGTGCCCCGACTTCTGGGCCTGTATTGTCATTTAACAGAATGCTGAAAGTGTTCATTCGGAGATAAATAACCTAATCATTTTGTACTATAATCCTTTACACGTACAGGTCTCTTGAGGAAAGATTTACACTAAGCCACAGCAGGACTCGTGGGCTCCTGGATGGTCCTGGCTTGGCTTTTACCTCCACCTTTTCGTTCCCACCATTAGCTTTACTATAACTACACATAGTTACGTTTGCTTTTTACTAACCTTTTTATCCATTTCTTTCAATCAATTTGCTTCTTTTATTTTGCCTTCCATATTCGTCTTTCCTTCTTCCCTTTGTTTCTGTATGGTTGCTTTGAACTTTTATTTTCTGTTTCTCTACAGAGAGACCTCAGCTATCCCTCAGCTATCTTTTTTTCTCTCAGTGTTCCTCTCCTATGTATTCCAGCTCCCATCCCACCCTTCTCTTCCTTCATCATATACCCCCTTGGTATAGTAAATTAGAGAAGGCTACACTATGCAATGCCAGTGGGGCTGGCTAAACGAGTGCTTACGACACTCTCCTTAGGATCGGATCCCTGTTCGCTCAAATCTCACCTTGCCAAGAAAGGTTTTTGCCCAAGAATTTCGTTTTTCTTTATCTTTCACGTTCTTTCTGTACTCATTCTCTAACACACCAAAGTTGCTGCCTCCCGTGCAGGACAAACTGGCAAAACCCAGGAGGAAGACGAGAATAAAGAGAGTACGTGCCATTTCATATTGACGGCAATTTTCTATCTAGGACATACACAAATCTCAAGCCTAACAGTTCAAATCAAAAAGCAAGAAGTTGTGATAGATGTACGTACCTCCACTTTCTCAACAACCTGCTTCCCAAAAGAGCAGACTTTGTGGAGCAAGTTATTGTCATGTTGTCATTACTTTCATATCTGGGGAATAAATTGTATGAACATTATTAGCAATACTGTTCCATGGAAATGTAAACACACAGTACTAAATATGCAAGGCAGTTAAGGTGAATTATGTGGCACACTTGACAGAAATACCTACAAAATGTGAAAGTAAGTTTACCGCTTTCTTGAAAGAGTACTGCATCCAACATGAGATATAATACAGAAGTGCAAGCATGTTGCACATAGAATTCTTTATGGTTATAAAGAATGTGAACACGAATAAGATGCATAAGAAGAGCACTCAGTTCTTTGTTCTGTTCCATCTCAATTGTGATTCATATTTCAATTGATTGCAATTTACATGAAAGATTTAAGTGTTTATCCAGAACAGCACAATATATAAAATTTATAGTCCACCATTTTTTTTGTTTGGCGATACTTCTACCAGGGCATTGAGATTCCCGATGATACATTGCCTGGTGAGGCTCCATGAATTTCATAGAGCTGCTAAAAGCCAATACTCACCTAGTATAAATGAATACTTCTATTTGTTTTTTCAACTGTTTGTTGCACTGTTGTTGGAAATCAATATGTAGCAACATTTTACTAAAGGAATGACAATTTTAGCTACATTCACATCATTTAAGTGACTAAGTGAAAGGTTACGTGTAAAGGTCGTGTTCAATGTACAGTGAAGCATGGCACTTACTGACTAGTGACGCCATAAAAGACGCCAGCTTCGTCCTGAATGCTTGTGTTGAGATCGGCCCAGAACTTGACCAAAAAGAAGGCATCTTGGGGACCCTTGTCATACAGTTCCTTAAGGCCCCCTTTCTTTTCGGGAAACTTGTCATAAATTTGCCGGATGTCTACCGCCTTTGAGAAAAAGCACAAAAAAAGCAACTAGTATTACTGAAACAGAAAAATAAAAATGAAAAAAGGGAATCCTTTGCAGATCTTTAAATGCTGTCATAATGCTAAACACGGCTAAATAGAATTTAAATGTGTTGTAAGAAGCACACATAATCACACCACAAAGAATAGTATTTAATAAAAATAAGTATGATGCTTTCGAGGGAACACTACACCATTTCCAGTTGATAACAGATCATTTCTGCTCAGTCAAGAAAAAATGCACTACTAATAATATGCACTTTTATTAGTTTAAAAGCACGACAGTTTTGAGGAAAAATAGTCTGTCATCTTCTTCTGCTTGCCAAATCTGGCTGCGGCTAGCAAGTTTTGTAAGGAATACACGTGTCGAAGTGCTTCTTCGGCGTTGTGTTCTCCAACAAAAAACCGCTGCGCAAGAGCAAGATTCGCAGCTACATCGGCAGCCCTCGGTGGTGGCTCATTTCCGATGTCGTCGTCATCATCGTCATTTTCAGGAATGCAGTCATGGGGCCGAACCATCTGCACGATTTCGCTGTCCGTTAGTGGACCGCATGTTTCGACGTTGCTGTCCACAGCGACATACTCGTCAAAACGGGCGTCACCGAGAGCGGCGCGAAAGCTTCCATCGTCGAGCTCATTTGTTTGCACTTCCACTGGCGCACAAGAAGAAGCATCCCCCGAGTTTTCCATGAAACCACAGGCCCGGAAACAATTGGCGATGGTTTCTTCATTCACGCGGGTCCAAGCTCGCGCTAGCATGTTGATGGCACTCAGCAAACTCACCTCGTATTGCGACGAGTTGTCCATACACAAAAGCATGCGCTCGACGAGATGCTGCCTATACAATACCTTCACATTTTTTATTATGCCCTGGTCCATGGGCTGCAACACGGACGTCGTGTTTGCAGGCAGGTACACAAGACGGATGGCACTCAAGGCAGGTACGTTCATGTGGGCACTACATTGGTCCACAAGGAACAACACCTTAGGGCTTGATTGCGCGAACTTGCAGTAGAGTTTGGTGATCCAGTCCTTAAATATATCGGATGTCATCCACGCCTTTCTGTTCGAGGCATAATCCACAGGAAGCGTCTTCACGCCTTTAAAGCACCTAGGCTTGGCAGCTTTCCCGATCACAAGCAGGCGACACCGTTCTGTGCCAGTCATGTTCGCCGTGACTAGCACTGACACTCTCTCTTTGCTTCTTTTGCCTCCAGAACAGTCGTCGTCTTTAAATTTCAGGGTCTTGTCCGGTAGCAGCCGATAAAAAAGCGCAGTCTCGTCTGCATTAAAGATGTCTGCCGGATGGTATTCTTCGAGGTACTCGCGAAGCTTGCCCGCTTTCCATGTCAGGCACATTTCCTCATCGACTGACGCCTTCTCCCCACACACGCTTTTAAAAATCAAATCGTGGCGATGTTTGAAACGCGTAAGCCACCCATCCGAAGCAGCGAAGTCGTTGATGCCCAACATTTCAGCAAGCGATGACGCTTTTGCCATGACGACTTCACCACTGAGAGGAAGTTTGTTGTTTCGTGCCTCTCTGATCCAAATCAGCAGTGCTTCCTCCAACTCGGGGTAGGCGCCGGTGCGCATCCGCTTCCGCGATGTCTTCAGTTTTTCACTTTCAAACGCATCCAATATTGAGCGCTTATTCTTTATGAAAGTCGGCAGCGTGTTAGGCTTAATGCCGTACTTTCTTGCAAGGTCTTGTTTGGCGGTGCCTCCCTGGTCAACTTCCTTCAAGACTTCGACTTTCGTCGCTAGGTCTAGCGTTCGGTAAGGGCCACGAGTTGCCATTATCAAACGTACGTCACCACCACAACACTCAAAATCAGAAGCGCGGAAACACGTGTGGAATCAACCCAGCGCACGGGTGACGCGGTGACACACTCGCGTCTCGACAAAAGTCAACTAAAGAGTCAGTCGATGCCGCCGATGCGATTCGCCAGCGTTAAAAAGATTGCCGCTTCAAGATCTGTGGCGCTGGGGACAGTAGTGATGGCGAAGACACCAGCGCGGTCCGGCAGATGTTTTGGCATATGAAAAGTTTTCCCATTTTACTGTAAAATTAAGGTCACGACGAGACTGTCGATTGAAAAAACTTCTAATTAACCAATATTATGGGTTTTTAACTTCGAATTATCGAGCATTTTTTTCTATACGATTGCATGCAAAACTGATGGGAGCACTTGCTCATTTCTAATTAACCGAAACTTCCAATTCAGCGACTTCAAATTACCGGGAGTCGACTGTATGATGCTTTCGAGGGAACACTACAGCATTTCCTGTTGATAACAGATAATTTCTGCTCAGTCAAGAAAAAATGCCTACTAATAATATGCAAACAATATTAAGCTGCAATTCATTCTACACCATCACTACATACTGTATTTACTCGCGTAATCCTCGCACCCGCACAATTCTCGCACCCCCCACATTGCCCAACAAAAATACGATTTCTTTTTTTCCTCGAGTAATTATCGCACCCCCGAAAACTGCTGCAATAATGTCGTCTGCTCTTTCCAGCTACTGATGATGATAGCGCACGTCATCTGGCCCCATCTCTTAAGCATCAAGCGTACTATTGCACAGAGATTCAATCCAACTCAAGCAAAGCCGAAGTGGCCAGTGCGCGTTGCGGCGTGTTTTGTATGTTGTGTCAGTAACCTTTTCAAGTTATGAGGCGATACTGAAGCTGCACGGCTGCTTTCAAGTTGCAAGTGATAGATAATGCACTAAAGAACGGCAACAGGGCCACCGGTAGGCCCTTGGGATTGATGGTAAACTTTATTTCTTAAGATGGAAACTGTGGACAATTCTGTTAAATAGCCATCAGCCCAATACTGACGTCCCAAGCTTACCTTTTGAGGGCTCCTGTTGAGCGACGAATGCTACCGCTACGCCCGCAACGTCCGCCAGCTTTGCGTATGATATTCTAATTCTCGACTATTTGCTTCCACTTTTTGCGTCTCAATTTAATCTTATCTTGTGTTGAACCTTTGCTTTTATTGTTGAGGTAAGTTTTAATTAGTACTTCTTAAAGCTTGCTGTTACTTGTTGGTGTGAGAATCCCGATTTGCGGCCACTTCGTTTCCCTTTTCGCTCTGTACGTTTTCGTAGAGTTTTCCCCGCGTAATTCTCGCACCCCCCAACTTTTCATCGCTTTTCCGGCAAAAAAAGAGCGGAGATTATACGAGTAAATACGGTATGCCATAAACTGATTGGTATTTTTATATGACTACTATAATAGGGCTTGCATAATATATGGTATTAGTAACAGCACAAGAATACTAGAGGGGACAGACAAAAAACCCAGACCCTTTTGATATCTCCTTGCTGTTCTTAAGCTTTCACCAAGTCCTAAGCACATCGTCCGAAAACACAGGCTCCTAAACATTTTATTGGGGTGCGTTTATTCACGGTCGAACGATGAGCCAAGTTGTATTTATTGTAAGTTCTGAATGGTAGCTTTCGTAGTATTATGTATATGAAAATAATGCAGGCTCAATGCCCATGGTAGAGCTGGCTCTTCTTTCTGCCTTCTTTTGTTTCCCTCAGTCTTCATCATTGTGACATATATCAAAAAAGTTTCAGGCCAGACTAAAGGACATCCATCACAACAATGTTTTTCTGCAGCCAGCCCCCTGTCTTGTCTATTCAGTTGTGTCTGTGTGATAGAAACAACAGAATCTTCAGTGTAGTCAATATTTATAGAAGAGCAAATCTATTAATTAACGTTGAATTTGCTAACATTACAGCTGGAGTGCCGGTCTATGCAGACTGCTGAAAAGTGGTGTGTCTACAACAAAATGTAATCCGAAAAGCTGGACTTTTCCACTGCTGTCCAAGATCAAGAAATATCGCACACACTCTGCACTCACTCATTTCTTGCCGTACTGTACTGCCCTGACTGTATACATCTTGTCCTGACTGTATACAACAAAATAGCAAACAGCTAATTAACATGGCTTACCTCCAGAAGTGGATCTGCATAGGTAGGTGGGCCACCAATATGCACAAACAGGTGTTTGTTACACTGCAATGAAAAGAATGTAAAGTTGCAAATGTGAAGACAAGAGGGACACACATTGCATATCAACAATAAAAAGTCAATTGAAGACACGAGTATCCAAATTTAGTTTAGCAACCTACTTTTTTTGATAATAGGTAATATTTCTAAAACATAAGTCTACAAAAATAATTCACTAGTACTCAACAATATGCTGGGGCTTCCTTTAATCTCTATACAGCTGCAGCCCAAGCCCCAATAACATTGCACTTTTGTTTATTCATTTGTTTAATAAAATGTTGCTTATTATTTAACTTCTTTTGGAATAATTTTGAGGCATTCAAGTGCATTAAGTAAGCAACAACACTATCAGTTCAGCAGGGCCTGTGGCAAACTCTAGATGCATTCCAAAATTTTCCATGTGTCCCAATGGAGTATCATGGAACAGGTTATGACTGCAACTCATTTTAGAGTTCGAGTCTGGTAACCAGGCAATATTGAATCTCACATTGTGTGAATCTGTTCGGTCATAGCTGTTATATATATTTGTATAAATGAAAGTGCAGCATTTCTTGCACATAACTGTGAGACACGCAGCAATACCTACGTGCCCCACCATTTGAAGGCCTCCCTTGTCGCCCACCTCCCCAAATTGAAATGGCTCTGAATTTTTCATTGCAATTGTGATTATATAAATATTCTTATCAGCTTCTCGCCACTGTCATGATGTTCTGCATAAAGCCCAAATCAATAAGAACACCCCAGAAGTAGGACAAGCAAAGTGCGAGCAAAAGTACACTAGCATTGTTGCATAAAGCAGCTGAAGCAGTGATCAAATGCCCCCCATCTCCTCACACAAAGCGTGCATGCGATAACATCACCCCGCATACCAAAGCTACCTTCAGTGGCTTCTCAAGTAAATACAAAACATCTTGCTCATGTTCACATGAAAGGCACATGGAGATTAGACCCGAAAGAGGACTTCCTGCCTCCAAAAGGAAACGTGTACTTTGAATTGCAGGGGATAATCTGCAGAGACCACGGGTGCCGTGTCTCTAGATCAGTAGACGACTCGTACCTTCATACGTGCTGCGAGAGCACTACAGACTTCTCGTTGAATCTACAGATCACCTGAAAACCGTTTCCCTTGCTTAAGCTGCCGTATTCCCTTCTGCCATCATTTTGCAGTTATGCCAAAACAGATTCTCAAGTAGTTTAGCTAGCTTTCCTTCAAATTACATTCCGATTTCTTGCTATCACATTTCTTGCGTCGCCATCGCAGTAAAATTTACTTTTTTTCATTACCGCACTTCACATTTTCTTTTTCTAAAAATGCTCGTGAAGTTTACTGCACAAAAATTCACCTCTGATTTCGCTTCTGTTTATCAAAAAAAAGTTCGTTCATTAGCAAGCGAATACGATTAATTTGCTGCCAGAGGTGTATTTGGCTGAAACCGGTGGCCAAAAGCGCACACAATATTCCCACCCGAGAAAAAAAAGAGACTCTGTAGAGGCATGTAAGTTACCGTATCAGTGTCCTGCTGCAGTTCCATGAAGGCGGAAAACTCGACGAGGCGAAGCTTGTGGGTGGCGATAGAGCGGCCCTCCCATGAGGGCGTCATGCCGCCATGCGGGGAGGCAGCAGGTCAACGCCCGCACCGGCGCTGCCGGGGGGAGCCTTGGGGCTCTGCAGAGCATAGGGCTGCGACGCGAACGGCTTGACGCTGCGACGGCAAAGTTTACATGTGAGGGATAAAAGTGTAAACACGCACCATGATCACTTTTCTTTGTGCCCACGTATACAGAAGACTCCCATTTAATGAGAAGTGGGGTGAACCGAGAAAGCATGTTACATTTCGCAGAAGTCCTGTTTACTGAGAAATGAAGAGAGGCGCAGTATGAAGAGACAAAATCAATCATGTCAGACGCAGCTGTTTCATTTAAGCAGCAGTTGCGTTTAACAGATTTCCGTTTACCGAAAGTGTACTGTAGTTCAAACAAACTCATAAGCCAATCATCGAACATCGATAGATTACGCCTACTCAGAGTGTCAGTGCACACTGTTATCACGAAAAATTGTCATTCATGGGGCCAAGCGAATTCAGTACTATCATAACTTTTGCATTCATTCATTTCAGCAGAAGCCTAGAACATTGGATTTGAAACCTGACAGTGTTTAGATTTAGCCAGAAGAGTAACGTCAACTAATTAGCACAGCACTGCAAATTGGCCTTGTAGATAGCCAAATTTAAGAGCCAATTTTTTGCAGTTAGGAACATTTAACAGCAACTGTTGTGACCATGCATATATCTATAGTCTATGGAACAATGTGAAAACACACCAATAAAACGAGGTGCTTTGTCTAGGTTTTCAGGCATGCAATTTCTACTGGTGCAACTCCAGATTATTCATAAACTTTCGAAAACTTTCATGAAATTTTGTCTTTGCTAATTAGACATTTATTCCACATGTCTCATTACCTAGTGTTCCACAACTCCACCTTGAAAGGAAAAACATAGCTTCACAAGTGAATACTGGAGCTCTTTGGGACACCACTGCACGAGTTCAGCATAAAAAAAAAAGTATGGGCCTTTACAATGCATAATACTCTCCTGAAAAATGAAATCCTAAAATGTGACATGTCAACTCGTACATGTTTACATGTTTTGTTTTCTATTCAGGCTATTATGAGGTTCAAGTTGGCCACATGCTATCAAAGCTGTTCGAGTGACTCCTGATGTGCTCATTTTATGCATGAACTTCACACACTGTCGCCTTCATTATTCAATAGTAATCATAGGGAAACAATAAAAATGCTTACTCTTCAGAGGTTCCAGGCTGACCAATGGTTGGCTGCCAAAACTGAAAAATGAATGGCAGTTGTTCATGTCCAATTCATGTGTCACACGAAGTACTGTTACCGACAATATTGACAAAAACGTGTAAGTACATAAACACAGCCTGTAAGTATAAATTATAAGCTATAGGAGTTAGCGATTGCTTGCAAAGCACATGACAAATTAGTTTGGAGAATATGGCTCATGCCCTGATGAAATCCACAAAACTGTATCCTTTCTGGTGAATCTTTGATGCTTAGTGAAGCTTACTATGCACAAGCAAACAGTGAGTGCAACTGGACGGTTACGACTGACCAAAAAAAATGTATACTGACCAAAGCAGTGTAGACCGATCTCGTTTATTACAGTACTTATTGCAAGTTAGGCATATGAAGAACTGTTCTTTTGGTTACAGTCTCCCAATCGACGTTCCAGATGCTTTGCTAGTGTATGTCATGAGTACATGTCAAATAAATGAGCACTAAATAGCCACAAACATTTTGGACGAGATTCAACATGTGAACGCACAGACTTTTGAGAAGCCTTTCTGAAGCTGACCCACCTACATAAATCACAAGGGTATTACTTCTAAGGTAATATATACTCAAACATTCAATGATTCACTTACATCTTACCCTTTTCGGTACTAACAAAACTGGGAAAAGTGTACAACGTTTGAAGAGAGAACAATATGAAATGTGAACATGGAATTTATGAATGAATGTCTGAAAAGGAAAGAGTTTTTATTGCGATAGCAATTATATGGACACTCTCAACTGCAGTCACCGTCACTCAGTGTATGTATACGTATTAATACATAAGAAAATGCAAGAATGAAGAATCACAGCATATCTACGGGGTGAATGATGGTGAGTGGGGCGAAGCTGGGTTCGCACACCGCTTCGGCCTCACGTTATCCTACGCACGCAGAGATCTTATCAGCGCCGCGGTGCAGCTTAACTGCACGCTTCCGCTTCGCGCGCTCGCACATCGGGGTTCCATCATTGAGCACGAGCCACCACCACCTTGTGCGCACGCCGCTTTGCAGCTTTGTCCATCCGCCGACCCTTCCGAATGTGTGCGCGCTCCTAAACAGCTTTTATTTTACTACACCGCGTCCCTAAGCTTACGGCGCCGCTGACGAATGCGTGATCGCCAACGTCTTCGTGTGACGTCATTCCTATTTTCTCGCGCGCTCGCACATCGGGGTTCCGTTTTCGAGCACGAGCCGCCACCGCTTTGCGCATATCATACTTTTCATTGGCAAACCGTGAATCATCCGCTGACCGCGTCCGTCCTTCGTCTGTCTGTCTGACACACGGACGCATGAACTAACGCAGGGACAGAGGAACGCAGGGACGGACGCATGGACGGATGCATGAATAGACGCATGCACGGACGTTTCGTCCCACTTATCATCATTCACTCAATCAATATGCTGTGATTTTTATTATTTATGATCCTACAAGAAACGTCCACTACTATCATATCATTTGCATTTTTTAGCGTATATGCATTTCGTTATATGTACAAGTACCGCCCTCTATGGCCGGTTCAAAAACTAACGAGAGGTGGCTATATACTTTTTTTCGACTACTACACGCCTTAACAAGCTTCACTCCTAAAAATATTGCAGAGTGACTCCGGCTCGCGCGATCGAACGTGGCACCTCTGAATTGTGAGGGCGACGCATTAGCCACTGGGCACGAAAGAGCAGCTCCTTCAACATTTCAAATATCTACTACTAACCGGCATCAGAGCTTGCTGCTATAAGGGCTGCTTTACAATATCTCGTTCAAGAACGTCCAGGAAAATGAGTCATATTCTGCGATTCGAAGGCAGCGCTTCAGAGTTTGCAGTCTGCCATGCGTAGGAGGAGTCATGACCAATTGGTACAAGAAATAAGACATTGCCATCATGAAGCTCTAGCACGAGGGCATGATATTATATATCAATGGCTGCCTGGACATATCGGTATTACCGGAAATCAATTGGCCGATGATGCTGCCCGCTCAGCCCATGAAAAAACCCGTGTAGTCCCGATTCCTCTATCAAGGAATGATGCAGCAAGACAACTTTACCTGCTGGCTCGAGATCTCACACGCACGTACTGGTCGTCTACCAGCTTCTAAAGGTGTCAATTTTATGAACTGGATCCTTCGCTCAAGCTAAAGCTGCCATCACAACTATCCCGCTCCGATGCGACACTGTTATGCCGCCTTTGGTTGGGTGTTGCATTTACAAAGGTGTACTCCTTTCGCATTGGTATGGCAGACACTCCTACATGCGACTACTGCGGAGCTGAAGAGACCATCGAACACATCCTGTGCAGCTGCGCTTGCTACGGCACACAGCGATGCCAGCTCCAGATGATTTTGAATCAACTTGACCCCGGACCATTTTGTGTGCAGAAGATACTAGGACCTTGGGCATCTGCCTCAGTTGCGCAGAAAGCAACTAAAGCACTGCTACTTTACCTGAAGTCAACAAACCTGAGCGACCGCCTATAGACTGTGTGTGCTCCCCGAGTGTGCTCGTGATTGTGCGTACCTTCTCATCTTTCTGCAACCTCTTTTCTCCCCTTTATCCCTTCCCCAGTGCAGGGTAGCAAACCGGATGTGCGTCTGGTTAACCTCCCTGCCTTTCCTTGCATCTTTATCTCTCTCTCTCTCTACTACTAACCGCTGGCGACGGGCATCTCGAGGAGAACTATCGTGTTTTCAACATTACCAGCAAAATGGCGCAATGTGCTCACGTCGCCACATGTTCACAACGTGACGGCGCGCGCTCTCATCATGCCTACTTTGCCCGCGGAAAGGGGGTGGGGTGGACGCTCACGCGTGCGCTTGTCTCGCGGTGGGGACAATCATACGTCTTGACTGGCCATGGGCTTTCACAAGAACAATTATGTTATATTTATCGGGCGCACAAAGGTCACCGCGATTGTTGCCCAGCCTCCGTTTGCTAAAAAGGCGCACTTTTCAGACACAGTGAGGTAACAGCTGAGACGCCTATTCGCGTTCATCTGTACCTGTGAATATGTTTTGTGCATCATTTGTGCATGAGGAACGCCGGGCAAGTTTCGATCTGATTGCTATACTGCGCGTTACCTTCCAATTCATTGCTATCGCGTTCATTGCTCCACCTTCAGATGCATCAGACGCTATTACTACGAGCTAAAATTAAAGTGAACTTCTAGTTTTTAAGTTGGCACCAAAATCGCAGCACCTGAATTTCAGTGGGACTTTTTATGTTGCAAAACATTTTGTATTTTCGGTCAGTCAACATAAGTAAAATTGGCTGCAACTACAAGTGCAGTCTCTGGCTGGGTTAAAATAAAATATTACTCATTTTTACCCGTCAGCGGTCGGATAGGATTCTAGTACACGCCGCGTATTCTATTACATGATGTAGAATTGTTGCTCAAATATCAAGGCAGTGGTGCCCCTTTTGTATTATTCTTGCAAGTAGTGACCTCGGTACAGTGATGGAGTGCCCTAAAGATGCGAGTAATCATTTTGTTTTTTTTTTAGCGTTCATTGTGCGATTAAGCATAATTTTTCTCCCAATATATATCGTGACACATTAAGCACCGGCGTAAAGTTGCCGTCCTTTTCTGTAGAATGTTTACGAAACAGCGAGAGAACGAGGAGACAGAAAGAAACACACAGGAAAGGTCGCTGTACTACCTACAAATGCGTTTATTTGCGCAAGAACAAATAAATACGCTTCTACGCATGCCAAAAAGGGGATTGATTGATTGATTGATATGTGGGGTTTAACGTCCCAAAACCACCAAATGATTATGAGAGACGCCGTAGTGGAGGGCTCCGGAAATTTCGACCACCTGGGGTTCTTTAACGTGCACCCTAATCTGAGCACACGGGCTTACAACATCTCCGCCTCCATCAGAAATGCAGCCGCCGCAACCGGGAATCGAACCCCCGACCTGAGGGTCAGCAGCCGAGTACCTTAGCCACTAGACCACCGCGGCGGGGCACCCCCAACAAGGGGAGGGAGGCTGAAAAGGTGCATGCACCCTACCCTATATGGCTCTTCTATTTAATGATGCAGATAACCAATTTTCTTCTCTGTTAATGGTATTGAGGCTGTAATGACACATGCTGACCCTACTTTATGCATTTCGTAGGCCTTGCAGATTTCTCGAGCTCGAAAATTTTGATAGCTGCGAAAAATGCACGTCTGCTGGAAAAAGAGGTTGCACCCACACCTTGCGCAATGAATCGCCGAATTGCTACCTGTCTTCGTTCCACGATTGCTGGCATGTTCTCGCAACCTATCATTTACCCACCAGCCAGTCTGACCGATGTACCAGCCTCCACATGACGTCGGGATCTGGGACACCACTCCTGTTTTTCAGAGGACATGTGTAGAAGCGTAATTATTTGCACTTGTGCAAATAGGCGCATTTGTTGGTAGTTCAGCGCTATTTCCTGTGCGCTTCTTTCTGTCTCCTCCTTTTTGCGCTGTTTTCCGGAGATGAATTCATACCAACAAGCTCGAACCCATACGCATTTAAGTTTATGTAGAACTTTCGCTTGCCATCAAAACGTTTTTCCTAGGACTTGTGATGGTTGGAACAATCATCCTGTTCTCATTTCCAACATCAAGGATAACGAACGTATCCGAACTACTTTAACAAAAAGTAACTAACTAATCCCCCGTATGCTTTTTTGTTGTTTGTTTTGTTATATTGGCATGTATAACGCTAATGTTTGATACTGGTCCTCTTTGGTATGCGTTGGCTCTAAGCGTACAATAATTAAAATGAGGCAACCAAAAGATTTTTCCGATCCCTCATAGGTTCTGTTGTCTCGCACTCCAGAACGCGCTCTCGCAATGCCCGCCGAAGAAGATAAAGGCAAGCACTTACCGGCGCCCCTGTGTAGCTCACGGGTGGCACTAGGGAGGCTAGCCCGGCCTTGTTCTGCATGGCCGTGGCCGACACAATCTGCGCCGAAGACAGCGACGTCAGAGACTGAAGCGCTTTCTCCTTCGCCGCCGTATCCTGAAACGCCCGCAAGACAGCAAAATAAAAACAAGGATGCCTCCGCAGCAAAAGATAGTGCTCGGCGAAGATATACCTTTGAAATAGGACGCGATGCTCACAAGATAGGGGCCACGAAAAGTGTGCTAAAGCATGGGAGACTATGCAAGCTTCTTTTCTACCTTTTTTTTTTTTGCGACACACGCAACGAATTGCTCTTGCTTCTATTCCGAGTATTTCCAACTGAGCATTTACTTCCAGCTTAATGAATTTTCAGCAAAATGTGCTTTGAAAATGATACACAAGAAATTGACTGTTCTGGTAGAAGTTCAGAGTTATGTTCAAAGTTGGCTATGGCATCGGATTATTAGTTTACCTACTATAAGGGCCAATCAAACGCTTGAAAGAACGATGAGTAATTCAATGAGTTCAATCAAAGAGCAGACCTTTTCTCGTGAGCCGCTAGGAACGTCCCGAGCCCTTGCGGAGCAGATCACAACCATGTCGTTCTTTCTACACGGCTTTCGAAATTCACTTTCACAGCACGGCGAAACAAATGTTAGCCCATGGAATGCATCATGGCACCCGACCAATGAAGTACCACCACCGCTATCAGCACATAAAGCAAGGGTAAGGGTCACTTTCAATTTTTTTTTTTTCTGAGTCACCTGCAGCTACCTTCCAGCAATTTATAAGTTTGTCACAAAACAGCGGCATACGGAATGTATGCAGTATATCGCCGACTGGCGTACTAATAAACGCAGAGTTTTTCTTGGCGTGCGCCAAATGAGTTCAGTTTCCGTAGATGAGTACCATAACGGCGAAGACGTCGACGACAGCAACAGTAGCGCCATCTTGCGATGCTTCATTAAACTGGGGCACTGCACACTAGCAGTCATTGCTGCCAATATTTCTGAGCTAGTTGACAAAATACGGTCAAAGCAATGATAGTTTCAGTTTTACAAAAACATATAGTTACCGCCATTACCACGAGGGGACACCACTATCACTGGCACGCCTTGATTCCCTGTTTCGGCGGCTGCAATCGGCATAAGTGACCAGCACTCGACAGCCTCATGGACCTTAGAGATCCCAATATAACCCAAGAACGGCCACCCACGAAGATACGACACGTCGATAGAACCCAGCATACAGGGCATGGGCATTTGGGGAGTCTAGCCCATTCGCGACTGGAAATACTGGCTAAGATTTTCACGTTGTTGTTGGCTACGCCGATGACAAGCCCTGCTACTGGTATTCTTGAACACGGGCTGTCGCTAGCGGCGACGTTTTCAGAAGTGGTCTTCGTCTACTTCAAGGGTTGCTTTCTTGAAGGCAAGAATATTTTTCGAGCTAGCGTTAGCTCCAGCGAGAGCCAGTCTTGAATAATATATGCGGTTTTTACTGATGCCACTAAAACAGCCTGGTTGGTGCACCAACATGATGGGACGCGAACTTTGTGATGCCACATTGGCATTATCGGTACATGACACGCTGGTTTCTTCGTTGTTCATGCAGAGGGCCACAATAAAGTTCCAGCGACATCGGTATCACACTGAACCAGCTTAATCATGACTGGTTATACTGCCTTGACACATGCTGGAACCACACTGTGTGTCCGTGACGTCATGCGCAAGCTATCGATTCTATTTCTGCAATATTTCATATTCTCATGAACTTTTGCTCTGCTCAGATTGCCACCGACAAATGTCTCTTCCAGGCATGCACTCCTGAAACACTAAAACGTTGAACTGTCATTGCCGCTTCGCCTATAAAGGTTTATTTATGTCAACCGGATTCAAGTACGGCTTTCAACAAATGGCGCTAGGCTTAAAGCTCCTAAAGTAGGAAAAGAACACGCTCGCCAACAGAGTAGAGTGCTCATAAGCATGTAGGACAGGGTATATTTACGACCAACAAATTCAAGGTTCTATCTACTGTGGCATTGTTCCTATGCTAGTAAAAATACCTGATTTTTTCCCAGAATTTCTTCTGGGAATTTTTTTTTCTCTCCACACTCTCCAGTTTTTCTCCTCTCCAAAGGTGAGTTATTGTGAGTGGTTGTAAAAAGAAGTCTGCGATGGGCTGCCAACAGATATGCATCCTTCGCGTTTACGTTTTTTTTTTTTTCTGCTTCTTATTGCAGAGATGGTTTCTTTCAAAACGCACAAACTAAAAGGCGAGAAAAAAACTGGCGAAATGAAAGGGAGACAAGCTGTGACACGTGCTTCCAACCTTGAGACCCAGTATGAATGATGTCAACTAAACTCGGGCGAGTCGTATACGTAGTAAAGACACCCACCGAGCGAACAACTCAAGTAAAAATGAACAACGCTTAAAGAAAAACTGGGGCTATAGATCGGCGCGAACGGGGCGACGCATTCGTTGCGAGAACCCGCCCCAAGTTGTCACGGCACGAAGCCAACTGGCAAACGTGTGAAAGTTGCTCGAGTAAAAAAAAAAAAAAAACGGCAAGCTACTGCACCGAAGTCAAGGTACCGTACGATGGAAGGGGGGAGGGGGGTCATTGTTGACGTTTTAGTTCGATGCGCAAAAAAATAAAATAAACATCCGCGTGAAAAACGGGCACAGAAAGTACAGAAGCTAGGCCTAACCAACAAAATCCTAAAACGAGTGTTTTTTTTTTTTAACTTTCGTGAAATATGCGTCATGTTTTTCGGGCTTCTTGAACCTACAGGCGTTGAGAAAGAGCTTAAAAAAAAAAGCTGCTGCTTTTGCGTCGTTGAGAATTGTGAAACGGGAGCTTTTTTTTCTTTCTTTTATCTTCATTTTTTCAGTTTTTCTAGTGTTTTAGAGGCTCACAGTGATAAGCAAGCAGTGTGCATCCGTTTGATATAGTTCATGGCAACATTAAAATATGAAACTGTAGGTTTATTAGCACATTATCGAGTATAGGAAACAAAGAAATAAACAGGCCGCGGAAGAGTGGCTAGCGAATTCGTGCAGGCTCTTACCCCCCGAGGCTTAGTTTCGTGCCTACCATATTTATAGAAAGCGAATGGTTCGCCAGTCACTTGTTTAGCACGGATGATTGACTGCCCCGCGCGTACTAAGCCAGCTGTATAGAAAAAAAAAAAACGGCGTGCTACAGAAAGAGAAAAAGCCTCTCCCGTTCGTTCCGAGAAACTATAAACTAAGAAGTTATCGTTCGCGCGCTTCACTCGAGGGGGCTCAACAAGGCGCAAGGCTTAAGCAGTACTTTGAATATTGCGAATCGGTTGCTGTATCGTCGACTGCACCCCCCCTGTCAAGTTTTAAAAAGAAATTAAGATAAAACAAAGGAGGTGTTTAAAATGACAAATCACATTTCAAGAGTGCTTGTATCGTCATCTTCACCACTGTAAATTTATTAACAGATAGGTAAATCGATATGAAATGTTTCACTTTTATATTCTCCCGCCGAAATCTTCGATCACGGCGTCACAAATACAAATGCAGTTTTTTTTTCTTTATTTTGGCCATATTGGTTCAACAAAATTTTCTAAAACTTGGTAAGTCGCTGGGTCCCTGGGAAGACAACGTACTTCGTTTTTATTGGGTGGGAACTTAATAGGCCATTGCAGGCGTCATCAAAACATCCGACGTCAAGGCAATTTCCGCGGAAACTTTTAAAAGGTGGCGTCGCCATTTTCATTTCATTTTTGTGCATTTTCTCTCTCGCAAAGCATCTTCTAGCAACAAGCGCTCTGTTTTTTGGCATCGTGAAAGACATAACTTATCAACCCCCAGCCGCTGGCGCCACCTCTGCTCAGGGGTTCGTGGAGACGTTTACCAGAGATCCGCGTATCAACGCGCTTTCGCCCTAACACACACTTCGAGGCCAACACCCACATATACCGCGGTTATTGCTCACCTTTAACTTGGACTGTATCTCCCGCGCTTTTCTCCTGGCCAGGACCTGAATGTGGCTGGACACCTGCTTCCGCGTCCGCGTCTTCCCCGTGCGCAGCTTGATGTACCTGGCGATGAGCTCATTGCGCCCTGCACCGAAATGCGCGAGGCACTTTATACAAAAGAAATCGCAGCCCATACTCACGAGGCGGCAGACGGCCGAGCAATATACTGGCTGAGGTCTAAATCTTGTGAACGTTGTTATCACGCGCGAAAGGCGTGCCTGGCAGGGCGTCTCCAATGACTCTGCTCATATTGTAACAGAAGGCAGGGTTTATCGCAAATCGGATGCGCACGTCTGATGTTTGAATGCTGACGAAGACGGTCTTGTGGTCCGTGAAGTGGTTAAGAAAGGTGCAAGGGTTATGAGATGTTGGTTCTTGCTTATAAGGAAAAAACACAGCAGAAAATTCCGACAAGACAAGACAGATACGGCGCCGACTTACAACAGCGCTGACTTACAAGTTGCAAGTCAGCGTTGTCGTCGTGCCTTCTTGTGGAGAAGGCACTTTGCACCTTGCTCGAGATTTTGTAGCCAGCCGTCTAACCATATCTACTGGATGACTGGACTCAACCTCTCGCTTGCGCTGAAGTGCCCGCACAAACGAAGCATCTGGTCTGCTATACACGGCGAGACTGAGTGATTAAGCGCCGGCCAAGCGGCCGTTAAACCTCCTCCTGGTCACGTGACGCAGCAGCGGCAAGCGCACAACTACCCAATCAGGTGGCGTGACGTCACATTTGCCATACTTCCGCTCCAGGGGGTCCAGGTCATTGTGACGCGATAGATGACCTTGGCAGTCATGGCGTAGTAGAGCTTTCGCTCTAAAACAAATTTTCACTCGCGTTAACTTCAGAGCTTTGGATGTGACCACGCTCCAACAAACTGAAAGCATGCCCTACTGACAGCTTCGACAGTGGAGCACTTCAGCAACACCTGGTAATACTTGTATTGGTTACTTTTTCACTGTTTCGTTAAAGTAATATTAAGGCCGGAAGGCGCTACAGAGCGAAGAAAAAATGTTACAAGACAATTTATAACGCTATTTAGAATTGATGGCCATGGGTTTTCTTAGCAGTAGTGCTCAAACTGTCGGTATATGAGACGGTTGTTCTATGGACTTCTTTTACGGAGAGGATTGCATCCTTTTTGGGCTGTTGCACGAGAGTACAAAAGCCAACGTCACAGCCTCGGTGGTGCATTTTTTTAGGCATCACGCGCGCTAACAAAAGCCCAGAGAGGACTATGACGGCACCCAGAACGCCTTGAGTGAAAAGGTCTATACAATACAAGGTTCGTAGCACAATCTATAGTGCGGCAAGATGTTAAGCAATGATCGCCACAACAATCGATTCCGCACGAACGTTGCTACGCCAAGACTTGTCAATTTCCGCTTGATTGCCCGCAGACCTGCTCAGATCAGTCTACCTCGTTCTTGAAATCAGGCAAGCGTTCGCATTCATCCTTGTCCCGAATTGAAATTCAACATTGCATTAATAAAATCAACAAAGGAGGAAAGAAGCATGAAATAGACTTGATAAAAAATCAGCCTTTTGACTCTTGGTGACTTCTGACTTGTCATGCATATAACTAACTGCCTTTAGAAAGACGCATTAACTTTGTATAAGTCATTGAATTCATTTCAGAGAGTAGCGGAACTCGAAACAGAGTTACGGTCTCTTTAAAAAGAGTCGTCCACGCATGCTTTTTTCCGAATCACTCAAAGCACTATCACATACTCTTGTTTTTCTTAAAGCGTATATTCCTCGTAACTTCAATGTGTCCAGCCTACTCCACGCAACCCGTTGAACAGCAGGTCGCTTTATCAACAATCGCTTTATTAACGAGCTGTGTTGTTCTGTCTCTGATATAGGTGATCGGAAAAAAATGTATGCTTCTTCATCTAGTGTTACAGTCTGACGCAGCAACAAAACATGGACAAAGCAGTTGCGAGTTTATTGAAGGCGGCGAACCTGGAAGCCCGTAACATAACCAACACGTCGACAAGGAGAATTTTATTTTATTCATGTCGGTTCACTGACAAAGACGAGTCGCCATTTCGTGACGATCAGTCCAAACTCGGGCATACAGCGTTGAATGACTCCTAAAAACGTATTTCAGTTTTCCTTTTGGCAATGACGAACGACAGAAGCAGGAAGCTATGAACTGGTAAATGACCACTACGAAACACACACTTCGCATAAAATAAAGAGAAATGTAACTTCTATTTATTACATGTAAAGTAATGTAAAGAGTCTGTCATGGCTTCGAACCCTGACGATGACCGGTACATCGGTCAAAACCGGTGGAAAATAAAATTTATATATATATATATATATATATATATATATATATATATATATTAATGAGATCTAACAGACAGTAATGCCAAGGAATGTACAGGGGAAGTTATTAGAACCAATGGAATGTAAATAAGAAGAAAGAAAAGTGGATGAAAAAACAACCAGCCGTGAGAGCATCGAACGCGTTATTCGAAGGTCGTAGGTTCGTTTCCTGCTGACGGCTGGTTGTTTTTTCATCCACTTTTCTTTCTTCTTATTTACATTCCATTGGTTCTAATAACTTCTCCTGTACATTCCTTGGCATTACTGTCTGTTAGATCTCATTAATATTGTGTTAAAACACGGAAAAACGAGCCCTTAGGTATACACTTCTTTTCCTTATATATAGTGTGTGCGCGCATGCGCAGACACGTGTGTTGACCTGACGTGTGTGCCGAAGCATCGCAATATGATGTTATGGCGGCTCCAGCGCCTGACGCGAAATCTTGTCTCGAGTTCTCGACAGCGCCGCAAAGAGCTGCGTATACGCGACGACGCTGCTCTCAGCGCACTCCTCTTCTTCGAATGAAACCGGATTCTTTTTGCAGCTGGAGCCATCCGCGACTTCTCTCCCGAACCATCGCCCTGTTTCTCTTTCTTTCTCCGAGTATCCCTCATCTGATACGAAGCTCGAATCTATTTGCTGTCTCTTCCTCTTTCCTTTTTTTTATACTCGTCGCTTTGAGCGTCATACGGCACCGCCTCCACCCATGTTCCTTTCGATACGCCTTACAACTTCGCGAGGACGCCAAGCTTCTTCTGTCTCCTCCGCATCTTCTTGTGTTGCTGCTGCGACGGCGTCTGCAACGGGCACCGCCGTCCGCTTTGATCCTCGCCCTCCGCTGCTCTTTCCTGTCTCTTTCGTTGGCTGCAGTTCCCTTCTATAGACGGCGTCGTAGCGCCAGCATCCGTTTCCAAGGGATGGCCCGCGTTCCACGCATTCCACAGCCGGTCGTCGCGCCGCGAACGCGAATCCACTCGTCGCGTCGCGACTCGCCTTCTTTTCCTTTTTCACCCGCAGCTAGGGGGCGCGAGCATCCTGTCCTCTTCGCACCACGCTCGATCCCCGCGTCCTTTTTGAGTCTCTTGTCTCAGCCGATCACTTTTCGCCTTTTTTTTTTTCGTACTCGTCTAAGACATTCGTAACGGGGTAGAGGGGGGGGGGGGGGGTGGAGTTGTACATTGACGTGCGGACGTCAGGGAAAAGATATGACCTGCATGCGCGCTCACATCGCCAGGAGTCGGCGGCGCATTGTTCGAGCGCGCCTGGCACAAGCTAAGTGTTTTTCGGTACGACCGATACGCAGCGAAGCAGCAAATGTCACACACGGTGCACCTTGGACGTTTAACCAATGTTGTGCGAGGCGTCTATCGCCGTCACGCGAGGAATGCGTTCTTAATGCAGTCCATGTGGTTACGTGCAGCCATAGCTATGCACACATAGTGGTGCAAGACTACACAACGCAGTATAAGAAAAACCACGTGGAACGCACATGCGACAACTTTCTGCAAGGCGTCACGGAGAAAGCAAGTCGCAAGTGCAGTGCACGCGGATGTTTATACCATTGTCTCCAGGATTGTGCGCCGGCACATTTAAAAGCTTGCCGACGTGCAATGTCGAAGGGCATGCTGCCAACAGAGTTTCACACTGATACACTAGAAAAAAATGTGAAGCAAGCGTCTATGGGAGCTGGAACTCATGGATCTTGAGCCATAATGGGAATGATGCACAATACATGGACGAGGTGTGGAAAATTGTCGTGGTATATTAACTCTTCCACCAGCCACTCACCCTGCGTACTATTATGCCCCGAGCCAGACGCAAGTTTGGGGAACATCCGTGCCTGTTATAGCGTAATTAGCACTTCCAAGAGCATTATCTCTGCGCAGGCGCCTTGCGTTTCATTCTCGTGGTGAAACGCTTGGCTGGCCATCACCACAGCTATGCGCATGCGCAGACCAGCGCCAAGTGTCACGCCTCGCCTGCTCCGAGTTTCATACGATTCCCCTTCCATCTCCCTCTCTGCCTCTGTAAGTGAGCCAACGTTATTTAGCACGGCGCTTTATTTGCATAATGTACGTGGCGAAACGCTCCTGACTACGAAGACGAAATTAATAAGAATAATTGCCGACTAGGTGTGTCCAACGAGCGCAGAGACCGCGGGATTTCGGGTATTCTTTCAACACACCTTGTAATAAGCGGTGCCCATATGAAGGGCCCGGCAACGTACTCGGTAAACACACCTACCGAAATTAACGGGCGACAGGTAAAAAATGACTAATGCTCTGGCGCAATTTAAGGGCACCGAATTTCGGTCTAACCGGTGAAATAGCGTCAGAAAAGTCATCTTCAAGCAAAACTATCTTTCTTGAAATATTACTGACTAATATTCGAATAAACGAATAATATTCTTTATTCTGGCATGTTACGGTTACATGCCACCGAGATCAGCCAAAAGGAAACAGAAGTAACTGTTTCCTGAATAGGCCAATATCCCGGCACGTGAACAAAAAAAAAAAAAACAAGGACAGCGGTGAGGTAAGCGAAAATATCCAGAGCAGCACAATTCAAAAGCATCACTGTAAAGAATTCAAAATCGAAATATACATAGAGCAGACAATATCCCGGTGTGTTATCCCGATATATAGATCACTTATCCCGGTGTGACCTAAAACCAAGTATTATAACAAATTGTACATGCAGAAAGAAAAAATTGTAAACCTCCCTGTACGGAGGAGGGTTCTGA